GAGGGAAAGAAGAGGAAAGGATGACTGGTCTGAATTTCAGGGAGTTGTGTAAACTCATGAGCCCATGGGCACTAACCTACTTCTGGGGACCAAGGCCGAGAGTGTAGCAGCCAGCTGGTCTGACGTGTGGGGAGGCATGCATGAACTCCCAAATTTGCAGCTAGTCCCTATTTGACCTAGCTTGAATGACTAGCTGACCAGAACTCAGCCAGATGAAGATAAAGATGCCTAATCTTTCTCCCATGGAGCAGCTGGTAGTTTTGAACTGCTGACTGTGAGGTTAGCAGCCCGATTCGTAACCACTACACTACCAGAGCTCCTTAAATAGATGTATATATAATAATTAAAAAGAGAATCAGGAAAATGGAGCTATAGAATAGAAAAATAAGAGCGAAAATAAAAGGAAGAAATAAGAAAACACCTTAGAAAAACCAGGGAGAGGAAGGATGAAAAGAGAGAGTAGAGAGTTGTAAAGAAAAATCAAAAGGGAAAATGAAGAAGAGGAAAATGAGAGATAAGAAACAAAGGAAAGACAAAAGCAGAGGTAGAAAGGATAAAATTCAAAGGAATGGAAAGAGAAGGAGAAGAAAGAATGAACAAACGAAACAACGAAAGGAAAAACCCCACCAGTGCCATTGTTGGGCCCAGAGAGGAGGAAACCCTAAGGGCTCCTGCCAGCCAATGAACTCACAAGGTCAGAGCAAAAGGGACGTGACAGCACATGAAGCTCCTATCAGGGGCCTGGTGTTAGCTATGTTTACAGCACTCCATCCAGAAGTAGTGTGTGGAGGCCTTTGATGGAGCTGGTTTCAGAGTCCGCTAGGACCACAGGACAGCTGAGGGCAGGGTGGCTGGTTATTAAGGTTTCTGCTAAACTAATGCTAGCCAGTAGCTTTGTGGGTTCTGTTGTCCTGGAGACAAGCCCTCCTGAATCCGGGCACTAATGTGGCACCTGGCCCCTGACTCACACTGGCCTGGCTCAAACCCACATGGCTTAATGAGCAGAGTCTGCACTGGGGCTGGATGAGGGGAGTTGTTGGCCACACCTCTGGTCACCAAGGCAGTGTGAGGATGAAGGAGGAATCACACCTTTCCCAGCACCTCTGTAAATGTGCTCTGCCAGGCCACCTTCTGTTGCCAAAACTGCTCACAAAAGTTTAAGACAGTTGTGCCATGTGTGGCCGGCCATTCAGTTTCCCTCTCTTACCATTCCTCAGCTTCTGCTTTTCAGCAAGCCCCCAATCCATGTCTCTAACTTTAACTCTGAAGTTCAGGTTTCCAGGATTTTTGTCTGTGTGTTTTCTGTGGTCTCTTGTATCTTTGTTGTAGAGGAGCCATGGAGTGCAAATGCCTAGTCCGCCATCTTGCCGGAAGTCATCCTTATTTGTGTGTTTGAAGAGTAATTCATTATTATAAAAATATTTTCCAAAAGAGATTTGAGGAACCCGAGAATTCAGCCCTTGCCCGCCCCCAACCCCCAAACCAGGTCAGAACAGAATCCATCCTCAGGGCCTAAACCTCAACCAAGTGGCAGACAAGCACATTGGGGGGGGGGGGGGGGGGGGAACAACAACACCAGCAAGGTACGCCCAGAGGGGTTGGGAAGGAAGCTGTGCTTGCGGAATGAGCTGGCAGTAGCCCACACAGACCAGATGCAGCATCACATTGCTGTCTGCTCATGCTAGAAGGGCTGCAGGCTGTAGTGGGCGAGTGTCTTCACCGGCTTCAGGCTTTGCAGATGCTGGCAGTCCTCAGACTTGTGCAGAGCCATGCTGGACCAGCAGCTCCACTTGGAGAAGGACCCTGGGCCACACCACCCTATCTTGTGCCGAACCCTGTACAGCCTATTCTGAAGGGAGCCAGCACTTCCCGGTGGTGCCGTGGGACCAGCCAGCGGACTGAGTAACTTCTGCCTCGGACACAGACTGCCTTCCTGCCCCCTTGCCTACTCACCCACCCTCAGATCAGGAATAAGGTGGCATCTAAATGGGAATTAAGGGTGGAATCTGAATGGGTCTGGGGACTATCTAGAACAAGTCAGGAGCTGTCCCACCTGCTGGCTCTACCATAGGCATCTGGAACCTGCTTAACACATTGTTGATAGTTGATCCAAGAACAATGAAGCGTTTGACAACTTCAATCTTTTCTCCGTTGATAAGAGTTGTTTATTGGTCCAGTGGTGAGGATTTTTGTTTTCTTTACATTGAGATGTAATCCATACCGAAGGCTGTGCTCTTTGATCTTCATCAGTAAATGTTTTAAGTCCTCTTCATGTTCAGCAAGCAAGGTTGCATCATCTGCATATTGCAGGTTGTTAATGAGTTTTCCTCCAATCCTGATGCCAATCTTTTTCTTCATGTAACCCAGCTTCTCGGATTATTTGCTCAGCATACAAATTGAATAAGTATGGTGAAAGAACACAACTTTATCATGTTGTTGATGTTATGTGCCATGGAGTCGATTCCGACCCATAGGGACTCTGTATAGGGTTTACGAGGCTATAAATCTTAATTGGGAGCAGGAAACCTCATCTTTCTCCTGCGGAACGGCTGGTCGTTTCGAACTGCCAACCTTGAGGTTCGCAGCCCGATTCATAACCACTACGCTACCAGAGCTCCTTACAACTTTATCATACACCTATCTTAATTTCAAACCATTCAGTGTTCCCATGTTCTGTTTGAACAACTGCCTTTTGGTCCAGGTACAGATTCCTCATGAGCACAATTCAGGAATACTCATACTTTGCAATGTTGTGCATCACTTGTCATGATCCATGAAATCGATAGCCTTTGCATAGTCAGTAAGTCACAGGTAAACATCTTTCTGATATTCTTTGCTTTCAGCCAAGATCCATCAGCCATCAGCAATGATATCTCTTGTTTCCACATCAAATAGCCTTTTGAAGTGGCAAGTGCTGACTGCCAATTCCTCCTCCCAGCCTTGTGGGATGTCACAGATGGCTACTTACACCAGGTGGTGTATGGGGGCGCTGGTAACTCTGGTATTCAGGAGTTGAAGGGTGGTGGTCCCCACCTCTGCTAGTGGACGCTCCCCTCCTACCTCCCTCAGTGAATTCTAATCAAGAACCAAGTATATTTTCCAGAGTGAAAGCTATCTTCCCTGCTGGGTCGTCCCTGAACACCCAGTTCCCTCCCTGCCACTTCAAGCCCCTTCCATCTTCTTCCTTTTCTCCTTAGCCTTCCCCAAAATCTGGTATCTTGTAGGGGAGAAGAGACCTCAAGTTCAAATGTATTTTATAGAGACCCTTTTATTAAGTCTTAAATAGGATCAAGACAAGGACAAAAATGGATCATTAGGATGAGAGAGGCAGAGGTAGCATGAAGCTGTAATGACATGGAAAGGAATCGCCTTTGTCAACATTATAGGGACCAGACACCACGGATCGTCACCACACCTGTAGACAGATCTGTGTCACAGCTGCAGGCTGGACTACGGAAGAGAGACAGAAAGGAGACTACTGAAGGTTAGAATCGTTTCCAGAATTGGCCATGAGACCCTGTGGATATGGCCCTTAACCAAGTGACCCCTGGTGCCCAATTCCCATGAAGGGGCATGTCCTGAGAGGGAAAAGGGTCTTCCTGGGCTAGTTCCGGGCGTGGTGATAAACACTCTGGCATGGTTGTAAAGCTGTGTCTCCCTGGTTTCGGTGGTTCAGTGGTCAGAGTGTGTTTGCTAGATGGTGTTTACATCTAATGTCAGCCTCAAGGAGGATGTGGGGCTTTGATTGTAGGCCGCAGTCTTCTGCAGACCGATTGAGAATTCAGGCACCAACACAGGCACATCATACGCGTTGTTGTTAGGTGCCATCAAATCGGTACCGACTCATAGTGACCCATAGCACAACAGAACCAAACACTGCCCTATCCTGGGCCAACCTCACAACTGTTGCTATGTTTGAGCCCACTGCTGCTGCTACTGTGCCAATCCATCTCACTGGGGGTCTTCCTTTCCTTCTCTGACCTTCCACCTTACCAAACATGCTAGCCCTTGCCAGAAAGCAGTCTCTTCTGACAATATGTCCGAATTATGAGAAATAACATGTGACCATCCTGGAGTATGTGGCACTGTGGGCTAATGCATCAGACTGCAAAGTCATTTGCACTGCAAGGTCGGTGGTTCAAGTTCACCAGCTGCTCCTTGGAAACCCTATACAGGGTCACTATGGGTTGGAATCCACTCCACGGCACACAACATCTTGGCCTCCAGGGAATACCCTGGCTGCACTTCTTCCAACACAGATCTGTCTGTTCTTTTGGCAGCCCATGGCACTTTAAATATTCTCCTCCAACACCATAACTCAAAAGCATCAATTCTTCTAGGGTCTTCCTTATTCACTGTCCAGCTTTCACATCCATATGAGGTTATTGAACATACCATGGCTTGGGTCAGGCGCACCTTAGTCCTCATGCTGACATCTTTGCTCTTCAACACTTTAAAGAGGTCTTGTACAGCAGATTGTTGTTGTTATGTGCTATGGAGTCGGTTCCGACTCATAGCGATCCTGTACAGGGTTTCCGAGGCTGGAAAGAAAGCCTCATCTTTCTCCCGCGGAACAGCTGGTAGTTTCGAACTGCCGACCTTGAGGTTAGCAGCCCGACTCGTAACCACTAGTCTAATAATGTACTACGTCTATTGATTGCTGCTGGAGACCTCGCGAGACAGCGCAACCACTTCCCGGGAGCGGACAGATCATTGACAGCGCAGACCCGGAAGCTGCGTTCGCCCGCACCGCCCACAGGCCACAATGCTTTGCGCACCTCCACGGTCCTCACTTCCGGGCAGAGGCAGGCCGGACTAGTCGAGCGCCGCGTTTGGCGTCTCGGCGCTCGGCGCTCGGCGCTCGGCCGGTTTCCGGAGGCGGCAGTCGCGGCGGGGATCCGAGCGTGTGTCGGGGTCGTTTCAGGGCCCTTCCTCTCGGAAGTTGGGGAGGGAGAGGTGTCCCGGGAGCCCGCGGTCCGCTCAGACGCCGAGCCTCCAGCATGGAGTCCCTGCGCGCCAAGGACGCCTACCTGCAGAGCCTGGCCCAGAGGATCTGCGCCCGGCCCAGCGCCGAGCCGCCGCGGCGCACATGGGGTGAGCGCTGCCCAGGGCCACGTCCACTCCCGGCTCGCTTGCGGCCACAGCCCGGGGTAGCTTTGAGCCCCTCGCGAGGAAAGGCCTGCAAGATCCTGGGAGCAAAGCCACTGTCTTTCCCTCCCTTGTTCCGGGCTTCAGCCTGAAACCTGGGGCGCACGTCTTCCGCCAGTCACGCAGGACGAGTTGCCGGGGTCCGGAGATGTGACCCCTGTAAAACGGCGTGTTGAAAAACAATCACATCTCCCTTCTGGGTGGGAAGACGGCGATGATGATGAATTAAGTCAGAAATCCCTCAGGCTGGAGTTGTCGGGGGAGAAGAAAGCAGAGGGTTTCAGCTCGGAGGGGGTGACACGCCTGGGGGAGTAGGGCCCCTCAGAAAGAAGCTGACCTTTAAAGAAGTTGGCTCCAGATTAGGGGAGCGCGCCATGCTCTACTGGGGAGCTCGTTTTTTATTTTTATTTTTTTTCTTTAAACAAAAAAACTTACTATTGTCTTTGTCCCAGACATGGAATTCATTATAAAAAATTAGAAAACTAAAAATAAGTTTTTCAGTTCCTGGTGTATCTAAGGTCTGTATCTTTCTGGGGCTTTTTCTTAGTATAAGCTTCCATTTCCAAACAGTTTGGGTGTACTCTGCATGCGCATTCTTTTCCATTTGAGAGCAAACATCTTCCCTCCAAGTGGTTTTGATGGCGGGGTTTGTCAGTAGCATCCTTAGACCCTGGTGCAGCCTTGGTGGCTTGTTAGGCTGCTAACCGAAGAGCCCTGGTGTGAACCTACCAGGAGCTCCGCTAAGAGCTTCGGCGTTGGAAACCCTATGGAGTGGTTTATTTTGTCTTGTTGGTTGGTTATGTGCTGTGGAGTCGGTTCCAATGCATAGTGACGTTGTACAGGGTTTCCGAGGCTGTAAATCTTTATGGGAGCAGAAAGCCTCATCTTTCTCCTGTGGAACAGCTGGTAGTTTGGAACAGCTGGTAGTTTCGAACTGCTGACCCTGAGGTTAGCAGCCCGATTTGTAACCACTGTACTACCAGAGCTCCTTATTTTGTCTTGTAGCACTGCTGAATTAGCAAGGCGGCAGTGGCCTTGGTTTTGGATGAGAATGTAGATGTTTTCAGTCTTTCCCGCTACCACGCTCATGACATTCATTTCTCAGCAGAATTGCTAGGTGAGGGTGTGTGTAAGGGTTTTGCTGTGAGTGGTTCTGAGGTTCTGAGCTCTGTGGGGATGAGACTCTGATGTTCCGCCCTGATGCTCTGCATTGTTCAGGGGGCAGCCTTCACACCACCTTGCCCCTCCAAGTGGGTCAGAGACCAGGATAGCCCTTGTGTATTGTATATTTCAGCTGGCAAAACCAAAGACTCAGAAGCAGCTGGGCCCTCCAGAAAGAAAAGGAAGAAAACACAGAAGAAAAGCCGGGAGCAGAAAGAGAAGGCTGTGGAACAGGAGGCCAAGCCCCTGGGGAAGAAATCTCCGGCAGCTTCAAGGGCCAAGAAGCCAGCGGCAGCCCAAGAGGAGGGCGCTAGCTCCACGGGGGCCTCTGCAGGTGAGAGGCTTGGGGACCATGGGGTCAGGAGAGGAGGAGGCAGGGTCCCCTCTCGGGAACTACATCACTGCCCTCATTTCTCAGGAGGGGTGTTGGGAGGGTCGACTGGGGTCCCAGGTGCAGATGCTGGAAGAAACTAGAGATGGGTTTGCCTTGTCGCTGAGACAGCCTCTGTCATAGCCCAGTGCGCTAACTTCCTGACCCTGGAGAATGTCTTGGGTCACAGACTTGACTGGAATGTGCCTGCAGTTCTATGAGTGGCCACAAGGGTGTGTGTGTGTGGTTAGACTTGGGGAGAGGTGGGCTGGGGTGGTTTTCAGTCCTTCTGTCTGCTCCCCTGGCAGGACGCCAGACCACAGAGTCCGAGTCGGTCTTTGCCTTGGATGTTCTGCGGCAGCGGCTACAGGAGAAGATCCAGGAGGCCCGGGGCCAGGTAGGGGAGGGGTCTCCCTGGGGCTCTCGGAGGGGCGTGCTTGCTGGAGCGTCCCTGCGCCCCCCTGGAGGAATCACCTCCTGCCGTCCACTCTCTCTGAGGACCTTGCCCTCGGCCTTGCTGCTTTGCCATGTGGGGGACAGTCCCCCAGTGTCTCCTTGTCCTCCTGGGATAGTGTGCTGGCCTGTCTCAGGACATGTGGCTGGTCAGTAGAAGGTGACCATGGGGTCAGAGTACTCTGCTGGCAGCTGGACAGTGGATGCAGTCGGGGACAGTGACCTCACGTGCAATTAGCATCTTGGCCAGGACAAAGGCTCTTGAGGCCTCATCCCGACTCTAAGTCCCGGTCTTCCTGCTCCTCGGTGGGTGGGTGGACTTCAGGAGGAGCCCCTTGACTCTCCTCATCCACACGATGTTGGAGGGTGTCTCCCTCACTGGGTCACTGGGAGAATGTCATGAAGGTCACTGGTGACGTGCCTGGTGCAGGGTGAGGACCTGGGCGCTGGCTTCCTGCTCAGGACCCCTGTCCCTCTGGGGTCACTTGCATTAGGGGCAGCAGGCCCTCACATTGTGGACATGCAGTGGGTACTCGTCCACACAAGGATAGCCTTACGTACCTGTCTGTCCTGACTCCACCTGCAATCGTGGGCCAATCTGGGGGCTCTGGGCATGGGAGAGCCGTGCGTGAGGACCCCTCTGGCCCCCAGGGCAGCACCAAGGAGCTGACCCCTGTGGCTCTGGAGAAGAGGCGCCGGAGGAAGCAGGAGCGGGAACGGAAGAAGAGGAAGCGCAAGGACCTGAGAGCCAAGGAGAAGGCAGCCCAGGCTGGAAAGGCCGTGGAGAGCTCTGAGCCGGCCCCCGAGGCGTCCCACCTGGAGCCGCAGGCACAGACAGGGCTGATCTTCAACAAGGTGAGAGGAGGCCCAGGTGCTGTCCCCTCGCTGCCCATGTGCTCTGTCCTCTGTGCCCACCTGTGATACCACCAGGTTGTAGCAGCATCTGTCTGATCGGGTGCAGGTGAGCACCCAGGGGTGGGGGCAAGCTAGAACTCTGTCACCAACTGACCGCGGTGACTTGTCCCCTAGGTGGAGGTGGGCGAGGAGGAACTGGCTGACAGCCAGGCACAGCGGAGGAAGAAGAGGCAGCAGGTAAAGGGCAACCTAACGCCGCTGACAGGCAGGAACTACCGGCAGCTGTTAGAGCGGCTGCAGGCGCGGCAAACGAGGCTGGAGGAGCTGCGGGAGCGTGATGCGGGACAGGCGCGGGAGCTGGAGGCCAAGATGCAGTGGACCAACCTGCTGTACAAGGCAGAGGGCGTGAAGATCCGTGACAGCGAGCCTCGGCTGCAGGAAGCCCTCAAACGCAAGGAGAAGCGGCGGGCGCAGCGGGCGCGGGCCTGGGAGAAGCGCACGGTTCATGTTGTGGAGAAGATGCAGCAGCGGCAGGACAAGCGGCGGCAGAACCTGCGCAGGAAGAAGGTGGCCAAGGCGGAGCGGCGCATGGAGAAGGCTCGCAAGAAGGGCCGGATCCTGCCACAGGACCTGGAGCGAGCTGGCCTGGCCTGAGGGTGACAGGCGCCCCTGAACCCCAACTCCTCTTCCCCCACGGTGCCTCTCTGTCTCCTGAAGCTGGAGGAGACCCTGGACAAGTCCCCCACTCTCTGTAGCCCACAGGTTCCCAGCACTAAGTCACACTCGTGCTCTCCCCAGGCTGGTTGTGAGACCACACGTGCAAAAGAAACCCTGCTCAGCATGTGGCCCAGGTGCTTCAGGCCCCAGGGAATGGGTGAGCCAGACCCGAGCTCCCAGGCTTTCTGGGAGGCCCAGAAAGTCCCCCAGAGTCAGCAGGGTCAGGGATGGGGCTCCCAGTGATAGGACTGCATCAGGAATGGTTGAAATGAGTGACTAGGTGAGAACATTCAGGACTTGGAGAGAGAGGCCAGTTTCAGGCTTGGCACACCTCCCAGTCTCCTTCAGGACGGACTTGGCTGGGGGGCTGCAGGGGAGCTGTTCCTCCACAGCCCTTGGCGCTGTCAGGAGTCTCAGCCTTGGAGTATAGGCTGCACTTTCCTTGGGAGCCTCCAGCAAACCTGCCGCGCTGCGGGCCAGGCCTGAGGATCGCGGACACACAGCATTCCTCTCCCTCAGGCACACTGCTCGGATGCCCTGTTGGGGCAGCCCACCATCTCTTACCTCTCACAGGTGTCCCCTGCCCCTCAATAAAGCACACACTGAACTCCTCAGCATGTTTCTTGGGGAAATGAAGTTGGTACAGCTGACACAGAAACGTCAGACATGGTGGGAAAGGTCACCACTGGGCACTGCAGCCTGCCTGTAGGACAGGACGTCAGGAGGCGTGGTGGCTGGGGAGAGGATGTGCCGTCGCAGGAGTGATCGTGGGGCTGTTAGCAGGCAGCCTGGAGAGCGGAGACCAACATCCAGACGAGTGGACTCCAACTCCCAGCAGCCCGATGGAAGGTTGCCTAGACTAAACAGATAACAGACGCAGACGGCCTCCTCTTTCTCCCTCAAAGTGACTGGTGGGTTCGAACTGCTGGCCTTGCAGTTAACAGTCCTACAGCACCATCAGGATTCCTTCTATGTGTGTATGTAGTTAAGTGCCATCAAGTTGGTTCCATCTCACAGCAGCCCTGTGTAAGCTTTCTGAGGCTGTATGTCTGCAGAAGCCAAAAGCCACATCTTGTTCCCACAGAGGTACGGGTGAGCTTGAGGTGCCAACCTCATTGGTTTTCAGTCTAATGTCTGTCTTGCAGTTCTGCCATACTCCCATGTATGAGCTTATACAAAAAGGTTTACCTCATGAAAATAGACCGTGTGTGCCGCAGACTGCTAAGCCGGAGGGCTTTAGCCTGGGGACGAGGGTCTTCGAAACTAGAACCACGAGTGGGTAGAGGTTCGGTGATGAGCGAGACACCGAGGCTTGAATTACAAAGTGTGCATTTTATTCTTGCTCTGGTGCTCTGTGCATTTTTTTTTTTTTTAATTCTATTCTACTTACAATTTTTATACCTTTTTTAATTTACGCAAACGCCAGATGGCCAAAAAAGATCCAGAAAGTAGAATAGCCTAGGTTATGTCATCTTCTGAAACATAACAAGTTTTCAGGTTAATAAACATTAGAACTTGGCAGACAATGGTTTCCTGGTTTACCAGAGAATTCTAAGAGCATGCTTCAGTGATCCTTTAATTCTGTAACAAGATCAAGGTGAGAACCTTCTCAGGGATTGTAATATTAATAATTTCTAGCTTTTAATCTCTAAAAGATATCCTTATCAATTTCATGTATGCCTCTTAAATAACTCCACGGGACTCCTCCTAGGGCTTTCCAATGTCTGTCTAGGAATGGTCATAATGCTTAGTTGTTTAATTAAATCATCTTTCTCTTCTTGCGTCAGCAAACACCACCTTTTACTACTTCTCTGTAATCTTTTTAAGAAAGACAATGTAAACCAAGAAACTCTTTTCCTGTTTTCAATTATCCACCGATTGCCAAACTCGTCGTACTTTCCAGTACAAGACAATGGCTCAGGGGTAGGCTCAGGAATTAGGGGGTTGCCACAAATGTCCACCCGTGAGCACGAAAGCAAAACCTTTCTTAGTCTTAACTGTGGAGCAGGAGTTTGTGTAATTGTGTTAATTCTCACTAGACCCTCTATTCTGGGGGTAAATAAGTTTAAAAGGTATTTTTGCAAATGCCTGCAATACAGGTGACCAGTGTGATGCCTTCTGTTCAATTTGCTCTTTTGTTATTTTCATGTTTGATTTCCGAGGTATCTAATGTTCTATCAACAAATGGACTCAAAGGAACATGACCTTCTAATAGTACAATGAGACTTATTCCCAGAACGAGAAGAAAGAATAGCAAACATGAACAGCCAAGAGAGATCACGCTGGGGCCACACTCCAATCCGAGAGGCACACTTCCTTGAAGCTTCTGCCTCCATCTGGTGAACATGTCACACAGACTGCATCGGAGTTGGTGTGGCACGCGTGGTGGTCGAGGCTGACGACCCAAGTCTGTGTCAGGGTGGAGGCTGTTCGTGATTAATGTAGCTCCAGGGGTTTGGTGAACCCAAGACTGACAGGTCAGATGGCAGGCTGCAGAGGCTCAAGAAACCCAAGATGGCCAGGCAGTGTGGCAGTCCACTTGCTCAAGTCCAAAGAGCTGGCAGTCAGCTGATGAGCCTGACCCATGATCCAGATGCAGCAAACAAACCTGAGAGGGCGTTTTCCAGAACATTCATACATAGTGGGTGCAGGCCACACCCCTGAGAGAACGCCCTGGAAGCTTAGTGGCTGCTCGCAGCAGGTCTCATTAGGGAGGGGACTACATTAGGTCACATAAGGAGCCTTGGGAGTGGAGTGGACTACAGGCCAGCGGCGAACCGCAAGGTCAGCAGTTGGAATCTCCCACTCATCCCGTGGGAGAAAGATGAGGCGTTCGGTTCCTGTAAAGATTTACAACCTTGGAAACCCTGTGCCACATTGCTATGAGTCGGAACCGACTTGGTACACAACCACCACCACTGCATCATTACTCAAACGTGGCGAATCCTGGCCTGGCCAAGTGGACACACCCTTAACCATCAGAGTCCACCTCTTGTCCACTCAGCACCTGCTCATTCACGTCTTAGACATACGTGCTCTTCACAGACAACTATAAAGTCATGCTTGCGCTTAGCATATGCCCCTGACATACTCGAGCTGAAACTGCACTTACTGCCTGGTGCAGATGAGTCTGTTCTGACTTAGACCTGGATAGGGTTTCCAAGGAGAGGCTGGTGGGCTTGAACTGCCAGCCTTGTGATTAGCAGTCCAGTGCTCTTACAGCACCGCACCAGGTCTCCAAAAGTAGTCCCCTTTTTCTGTTGATTCAGGGGCATGAGGAACCCAAAGTGGTCTTCCCGTTCACTGGAATTCATGTGTCTCTAGGAGGGAGTGGTGGTGTGGTGTGGCGCTGTAGGATAAGCACTTGATCTCAAGGTCAGTGGTTCAAACCCACCAGCCGCTTCTCGGAAACACTACAGGATCACTGAGTTGGAATCCAGTTGATGGCACTTAAAAACAGGAGTCCTAGTGTGGTCCTATGGGATCATCACTTCACTGTTAACTATAGTGTTGGTGGTTCAAACCCACCTGATGGCCCCTGGGGACCCTATATAGCATCCAGTTCACTAGGAGTCAGATCTGACTCAATGGCAGTTAACAGGAGACAATATTATTTCCTTTGGAAGTAAGACCTCCAGAAAATGCACTGTCAAGTGTCAACGAGTTGGTTCTGACTTGGTTTCTGAGAAGCAGCTAGTGAGTTTGAACCATTCACTTTGTGGTTCAAACTGACCTTTGGTCCAGTGCCTGTCTTACAATGCCACACCAGGACTCCAAAAAGGCACTTGTTGTTGTTAAGTGCCGTCGAGTTGGTTCCCACCCATAGTGACCCTGTACAGGGTTTCCGAGGCTGTAAATCTTTACGGGAGCAGAAAGCCTCATTTTTTTCCTGCAGAGCAGCTGGTGGTTTCGAACTGCTGAGCTTCCGGTTCATAGCCCGATTCGTCACCACTACGCTACCAGAGCTCCACTAGCTACTTCATATTAATTGAAGAAAATAAAGATTAGTGCACACCTGCAAGAAAGCAATAGAAGAGTTTGCGGCTCTTGTTTCTGAAACTGGGCAGGTGGTGTGACCTGTACTTACGACCTTCCACCCCCTGATTTTGCCGTCAGCAAGCACCTATAAGCTAGTTATGGTTTTTGCTGGTGGGGTAACCCAAAACTTCATCGTGGAGGGTCTGGGATTTATGTTGAATCAGGTCGTTTTCCATCTGCTCCTCCAAAACCCCATACAGGGTCAATGAGGCGTCAAGTTTTCCATCGACTTGAATCAGTGTTATCGTACTGAGAGGGGGCTGAGGAGCCCCCTGTACCGCAGATGCACTCTTACTCCATCCTGTGGGATGAACCCTATTTCCCTCGGGGGTAACCAGGCTCTGGCACACCACCCGCACAGTAGCTCCTGTCTCTGCTTTTGGCCCAGAGCCACAAAGAACGCAGTTTCCAGGGTGCTCTCAGTACATCTAGTGTGTCTCGAGTACGTGTGACTCTGGGACTCCTGGGTGGCGCTGTAGGATCGGCACTGGACTATGAACCACGAGATCAGCAGTTCAAATCCACCGGTTGCTCCTGCCCCTTGGAAGCCCTACGCAGGGTTTCTGAGTCCGAGCTGAGATGACAGGAACAGCAGGAGGCAATGTTCCTCACTTTGGAAGTAAAACCTCCAGACCTGGAAAGCACAGGGTCGTGGAAACAGGAGGCAAAAATGTTGTGACTGGGTCCCGAGAGGGAATGCTGGCTCTGCTCCTTTTCCACCCCATTGGCTCCTGAACCCGTGAGTTCCAACCAATGGAGAGACGGTCCGTTACTTAATGCTATAGAGCGTATGCAATCTCCTAGAGAACATAGCCCCGACTATGCAAAGTGTTGTCACCCATCTGGCGCTGTGTCTTTAGGAAGTCCTTCCATCATGCCATCAAGCCTTCAGGATGGTG